AAAAAAAAAAAAAAAAAAGAGAGAGAGAAAAGGTGAAGGAAATATGTTACACATATACAAGATCCCAGGACCAAGTAGCAATAAAGCATTCAACAAGGCTAAAATGTAGGCTATGATGTAAAAGTGGTTTCAATTATCTGAAGTAAAATGATTTACAAACAAAAACTTGTAGTCTATTTTATGGGTTGAATTTCATCTTCCCCAAAATGTATATATGGAAGTCCTAAGCCCTAACTCCCATTGCCTCATGATGTAACCTTTTTTGGAAATAGGGTCAATGAGCACATGACTAACATTGGAACTCAGAAAGCAATATCCCAAAAAGAAGGCATCAGCAACAGCTGGAGAAGCAATTTTTTTTTCTGTAACCTTCTCTTGTCCTCCTGTCCCTTATTTTCATTCAATTCCAAGGATAGCCACAGAAACTAGAAACTCTCTTCTCCAACGTGGGTCATAGAAAACAGATTCTCTTTTCCCAAAAGCTAATCATAAGGCCTATAAATAGTCTATGTAAAAACTGGCCATAAAGAAATTATCTGACCTACCTGGTTTGGTTATAGGTTATAAAACCCTTATTCCAGAGAGGCCCTGCCTCATACCCAGAAGAAAACAATACATGCTTAGACAGGCCAAAGAAAATCTAGACAGACAGGCTTTGCTGGGTTTCCCCACCAACTCTATTAGTTAATTCATCTATCTATTAACATTAGATAATATCATTTTAATCTAATCGTGTTTCTACATGACTATCCAAACTTTGTTGAAAACAAGCATAAAAATGGACAATTTTCCCTGCATCTTCTGGTCTTCATTTTGAAGGCTGCTTTGCATATAATATTAATTAAATGTATATGCCCTTTCTCATATTAATCAATCTGCTTTATGTTAGTGACTTTCAGTCAATCTCCAGGGACACAAGGGTCTTGGCCATTAAGTTAGTTAGATGAGATCATAGTGAATAGGTTGAGCCTCTAGTCCAATATCAAGCACTTATAAAAAAGGGAGACTTGGACAGAGATACACATGTAGAGAGAACACCATAAAGAGAGGAAGAGATGAAGGCAGATAGCTAAGAGATGCTTCTTTGTGTTGCTAGAAAAAAAATACCTGAGACTGGGTAAATTATAAGGAAAAAATGTTTATTTAGCTCACAGTTCTACAGACTGAGAAGTTCAAGGGCTTCTGGCTAGGGCTTTCATGTTGCAACAAAACATGGCAGGAAAGGTCAAAGGGAAAGTGAACCACTTGCAAAGGGAGAACACCTGAGGGGTGTCCTTAGGCTTTATAGCAACCCACTCTCCCAGGAACTAATCCATTCCTGTGAGAACAACTGCGGTCTCGTGAGAGCAAGAAGTCACTCACTACCTGGAGAATTGCACATAACCATTCCTGAGGGTTACACACCTATGACTCAAATGCCTTCCACTAGGCCCCACCTGCCAGCATCACCATGTTGGGAATCAAATTTTCAGCAGGACTTTTGGTCTGGACCAATAAACCATATCCAAACCACAGCACATGCCCAAGAACACAGATCAATATTTGCTGCTTTATTCAATTGTCTCTTAAATCAATGAGAGACAATTGATTTGATTTGGAGAAATAAGTTGTACAAGGAGAAATAAGTTGTACCCAAAGCATTCATTATGTTGTCTTATGTGTTTATCTGTCTTTTTAGTTTATCTTACTGGTGCTTTTCATTTCTTCATATAGATTCAAGTTAATGATCAGTTTCTTGATATTTCAGCATTTCATCCTCAGGGAATTTATTTATTTAGTATTTCTTGTAGGGATGGTTTGCTAGTGACAAACTTCCACTTTTTTATTGGGATATAATAATTTATTCTTAATTTTTGAAGAAAAGTTTTGTAGGGCATATGGCTTCTTTAATATTAATGTTTTTCTTTTGGAAATTAGAATATATCAAACCACTATCAATGATACCTACATTTTCTGAGTCAGGATTTATAGTTTGTAGATTACAATGTTAGTATTGTGTTTGGATAAAAAGAACTGGCTAAATAGTGACTTTTTTATGTGGTGAAACACCTGAGGAATTGAAAACAGGTGAGAAATTGAAATAATAAAATGTGCTTTGGAGCTTCAAATAAGGTAAATAAGTTTGCCTGCTCTCGTGTTAAGAGGATAAAGGATCTGTGTTTTGAGAGAATGGGTAGGAAAAGAAAGAAGTGTTATGTAACTATGATCTTGTTAAGTAAGTTAAGTTCGTGTGCTGTAATTGATTATAAAGTAAGTCAAGAAGATAAGCCAAACAGTAACAATGAGAAGAACAGCTTTTTGATTTGAAAAGTGTATTTTCCAAGAGGAGGATAGGTTGTATAAACAGAATCTTGACATTCATTTTGAGTGAGTTGGAATAAATAATACATAATGAAGTACTCATTGAGAACATATTATATATAACATGATAATGTAACTGTAAAAATGTCCCATGTGGTCTGGAAAAAAAATGTGAAAAAAATACAAAACACATATATATGTATGCATTAATTGTGTCTTTTTTAATATGTATTTTATGTTTATACTCTGTATTTTTGATAGGTTAATTCATGGGCCTTCTGTGAATGTGTTTTTCATATGCAAATCATCCTATCCACAGCCCACAGCCCCAACTACCTCTTTAGTGGGCTCTTACATTCTAAGCTACTGTCTTCCTTCCCTAGTCATGCTAGGGCCAGGTACTAGACAACTAGGGGATGCTCAGATCCCATGAAAATTATTTAAACTAGCCAATTCTAGGTTTGCTTTCCTTGCCTAGCCCATTTCTTCTCGCAGAAACTAAAAGGCTCTTGCCCCTGTTTTCCTTCATTTACTCTGCAACTTGGCTGACCCTGGTGCTTTTCTATGTGGCCCTGTGTGTGGTATGGAGTGTCTTCTATCTCTAGGAACCTGTGAGGGAAAATGTCTCTCTTTGTAGCAGTCTTTTCTGTGTCTGCATGTCTTAAAATATCTGATTTAAAAAATTACTGGGCCCCCTTAAAATAATACACACACACACACACACACACACACACACACATACTTATATAAGAAAACACAGAGATATATATATGTATATGTCGACATATACATGCATGTATTTATATATATATACACACACACATTTATATATATATATATATATGTGTGTGTGTGTGTGTGTGTGTGTGTGTGTTTGTAATTTGTATATAATACTATGGTCCAATAAATAATAGGTCAAAATTGAAATATTTAGCTTGGAGTACATCATCTGGTCAGCAGTATCCAGATTGCTGCAACAGCTTTTCTTCTGGTTTTTACTTGAAACATATTTGTTA